TGTTATCAGTTGCTTTGTAAAAACCATAATACACTGGAATTATTATTATTTTTTTATTTCCCCTTAGCCCCGCTCCTACGTGAAAATAAAAGTTCGTGACATAGTTAGTTTTTCCAATCTGGCAACACATCACGGTTTTGAGCACGCACAATGTGCACTGACATTGACCGTCAAGAACAAAACGTCAAATTTTAACGCCAAAACAAACCACGACAATGTCACATGTCACACGATTCACCTTGCGTTCGGTATTTTGCTCAGAGAACAAGCAGAGCGTGCAAAGCGGAGCCGTAATCACGTGGCCAGTGAGCGTACAGAGCAGTTAAACGCTGTATCAGAGGGCTCGAAATTTCAATAAACGAACGTGAATTAGCCTGCACCGAGTACACTTTTTAAATAAACGAACGGTTTTTTGCTCGGAGAACTCATCAAAATACCGAACGCACGGTCACACGACACCACCACACGTCGTTCAACTGTTGAAGTCAGCTGTCGTTTTGAAGCATTTTGAGCAGCGTTGCCAGATGGTCAGCGGCTCGAATATGATTGGTCGCCGCTGTGGCGCTAAATTCAAATTACAGTTTGTTTTTCTCTGACTAATTCTATAGACATTATGCTGGAAAATAATTTAGTATTCCACTATACCATCACCATTTAGCCTATAGAATAACGTCGAGCAGTTTTTTTACTGATTTTCATACATAGTATACTACCCCATTGGAAACCCAATAAAAAAGAAAGGTGGGACGGCCCCATTGACAAACTCCGCTCTGAATTGTTCAAAGCAGAGGAAGAACAAATTACAGCAGAGGTACATGCATTCTTTTTAGAGATCAGGGTCCATATTGTCAACTACTTAAGTAGATACCACACTGTACATCAATTTTACTGAAGTGTGTCGACTAGTCAGCATTAATTTGGTATAAATACCGCGCCGAGATCCATTACCGGCAAACTAAGGCTAGTGCAAAGTACCATCGTCATCAAAAATAACTTGGACAGCATCATATATCATTAGCTCATGTACTATTATATGAATTTTAGTGTCAAATATTTGTCAAACTATAAATCAAATGCATTGAAATGAATGACGGTCGAATTAGTCCAGGAGATTGATATGAATTATTTTTGTCTCAGATACTTTCGGTGACGATGGTACCTCAATTGGGAAAAGCCCCTCTAGCTAAGTCTCCTCCCAGTACAAACTACCTTTATTGGGAAACGCCCTTCTAGGAGTATTGAACACAGCAGACTAGGACCAATGCAAACTACCTTCATTACATATCTTATTGTACCGATACCAAGTGAGTTTCTCTCTACCTGAACCCCACCTACGCCCCCAGGTCACGCTCCTGTTGTGACGTCCTAGGACGAAACGTATAGGGGTTGTGACATATTTGGTGAAGGCGCCGGGTAGACTAGAAGTAAATTATGAAGTAGAAAAAATTGGTAGTAGAAAGAAGAATGGAGATAAGGTCCACGTCAGTGGGATGCTGCCCTACAATGACCGGTGGAGAGTATAGTGAAGATGAAGAAGACGAAAAAGAAGAAGTAAGAGAAGAGGAAGAAAATGAGCAGTAGAAGAAAGTGGCCACATGTACATTATAAAATAGAGTTTAGGAGGGAGAGAAACAAAGTTTAGTATTAAATAAATTTAAACAGGATTCATCTTCCAGATTTTTGATGATACTGACTCATAGCGCCACAACCCAGAAGGTAGAAGTGTCCGCCGGCGCAACCTGAAAACTTCTACCAGATACAATTTCATAAGAAGGGTCCATCCCATCAACATAGAGAGTACCCTAGCTTGAAGAGCCCTTGGAACCAACAATACTGGGAGGCAAGAAGTGTCAAGAATCAGAGAAAGTAGATTTAACGTATATGGAAGGAATAGCATCGGCTGTAGGCAAGGAATTAAGTAGTCTAACTAAGCACTGGAATATAACTAATCTAAAATCAAGGACGAAGAGCAAAAGGGCAATTTTATTTGATTTTTAGTAATTTCATTTTTAACACACATCATTTTGGTTTCATACGCACGAAATTGCATTATCTGACCAGAGGACAAACGAGGCCAAGAAACTAATGACGTCACTACAACCTGGATCCGGGATTGCTTCGGATTGAGCAGGGGCATCTCTGATCCAAAGATCCTCGAGTAACATTGGAAGCAAGGAACCAGACACTATGACAGATTTGGTACACCAAAACCTGACCCCAAGGAAGCACAAATGTTTTGGTACCTGGACTACTCACTGTCTTTACCGAGAAGACGTATCTGGTTTTAGGGCAAAACCCAACCCGTGACGGTATCTCCTGGCGCACCTCAGTTTTATCCATTTATTAAAATTTTAGTAATTGCATCGCCCCTATTATTCCTTTCGCTTTTTGTATTACATTGTATTTTATTGTTTCTATTGTATTGTATTTTATTATATTGTATTGTAATTCTATTAGGTATCTTGTCATATTTTATTTTATTGTTGATGTCTCTTCTATAAGCATTGGGGCCAATGCTTTTCAGAGGGAGGGCATATGTCCACTACCTAAGTGTGTCGACGAGTCAACATTAATTTAGTATAAATACCGTGCCGAGATTCATTACCGGCAGACTAAGGCTAGTGCAAAGTACCTCAATTGGGAAAAACCCCTCTGGCTAAGTCTCCTTCCAGTGCAAACTACCTTAATTGGGAAACGCCCTTCTGAGAGTATTGAACGCAGTAGACTAGGTCTCAGCCTCAGTCTTCAGTCACGCCAAGTGTACAGAGTGTACATAATACAGAGTGGCCTAAGTAGTACGTCCCTCCGTGGAAGAGACGTCATGGTATTATTCCTAGGGTAATATTATTCTATATATTCAAAACATATCTTATGGCGTTTCCGATTGGTAGATTCAGTGCGCACTGAGTGTATTTGCATCTTTATAATTGACCTGTAGAAGAAAAAGACAGAAATAGAAAAAATTGCACTAGTTCCGCACTAGATCTACCAATCGGAAACGCCATTATTGTACCTATACCAAGCGAGTTTCTCTCTACTTGAACCCCACCTACGTCCGTCCCCAGGTCACGCTCCTGTTGTGACGTCCCAGGACGAAACGTGTAGGGGTTGTGACAATATTCTCAAAACAGGGAAGCAGCGTTCTCATGAGAAGGTCTTATCATTGTCGCTCATATTCATATTTCCATAACACTGCCAAAGACCAAACCTTCGTTTTCACGAGTTCTTGGAATCTGCTCTATTTACATAAGGAAGGAGACAAACTGAGCTGCAAAAACTCGAAGAATTACCCTCCTATGCACTGCCTATAAGATATTTACGTAGGTATATCCTGAATAAGCATTTACAATCAACTCTTGGCGGTGAAACAAATGCTTAGTAAAGCATGGGAACATGACATCGACATTCATAACGTCTACATAGACTTCAAAAGAGCATTCGACACCATCAATAGACATAGACGTCGACTATATCAGGTTCTCCACAGCTTCAGAATCTCTCTCAAATATATCAGACCGGTAGAAGCCACAATGGAAACTTAAAATTATTTAGTAGCTTACGCAGGCCACATAAACATCATGTCTCATAGAGAAGGAAGACACGACAGAAATATTATATGAATCTGAAGAGAGAGACACTTAAATACCTGTGAGTTAAAATAGACATATCGGAGATCGAGGAAGGCGGCAAATGAGACATTCTTCTCTTTGTCACAAGTATATCTCTCCGAAATCATCCATTGCGAATCCAAAATCAGAATCTACAAAATGATCATCAGACCAGTTCTATGTTATGGATGTCATGACTAATAATCTGAAAAGCAACCTGAAGATTCTTGGAAGAAAAATCCTTCTAAAAATATATAGGGGTGTAAATGAAAATAAGAACACGTTAGAATCACGAACCAACTCTTCAGAGAAGGTCCCATTTCAGAATTCATTGGACTGCAAAGACTTCGATGGGCTGGTCATGCGATCCAGAATGACAGAAGAGAGACTACCAAATAGAGCACTTAACAGGCGAATGTGCGGAAAAAGACCGAGAGATTATTCCGATGTAACTATGTATAAATATTTATCAAATGACTTCCCAACCTTCTGCTGCTAATGTTCTGATAATTATAATAAAAATAATAATATAGTATCATCTGGTACTAAAATTATAATAATGGTCGGCTGTAAAGTTGTTCCCGGTCAAGTTCAATACACTTCCAAAAGGCCGATTTCGTAATTTTTCGCGCACCGTTGTACCCTATGGTACTATGACCTTCTTTTAAATTGATTTCAATTAATTTATTTCTGGGTTTATGTGCCTTCGTAACTTATACTTATAGAGGCTAATGATTGATTAATTAATTAAATGATAATTCGTTTGTAGAATAATTTTTAAAAAAAAAACATGTGATTTAGGTACTCAGATATTCATATTACCAAACTTAAGCAGCAAAGGCAAAATTCAATTTTAGTTTAATTAAGTAGATCTTAAATTTTGCAATAGGTAGTTAATCCATTTCAAGCCAATGAGTAATTAGAGGTTGATTGGTCAATGTCATAAAGTCCCTTTCAGATTGTGTATATAGGTACTTTTTTATCTCGTTTGGCTTGACTCGAAGTGACTGTTTAGAATAAATAAATGGCTTCGCGGTACTTTGCTTTGACATTATGTGTGTTGTTATTTATGAAATTACTTTATTTTAACTTGTTGATGTTTATAGCCTTGATTTTTCCTTGCTATTGTGAAGTCAAAAATATGATTTTTTTTTTTTGTAATTCTAGCCTTCAAGATTATCACAGACAGCTTTCGCCACTCTTTTAAAGTTCTTGGCTATAACAAAAACAAAGAATTTGAATGGAAATTTTTATGTATTTTTAATTCACTTCTTAATGGTTATTTTAGTGATTTTCTAACTAATTACGTGTATGAATTTTGTCCACAATAATGGACTATTTGCCATTTACCTTACACATAATTCTTTTTTAATTAACCAAAGAAGTACTTACGATATTTTATTTGTTTGGCATCAGCTTTTTTCACATAAAGCTCCTTGACTCTTCTAACTCCCAATGTCTCAGAAACTCTTCTCAAAGTCAACAAAATATCCTCTGATCTGTCTCCGGATTTTATTGAAGCTTTTCTTGACGGCAGCCTTGGTAAAGGTACTATGGGCTTTCTTATAACCATTTTTACAGCTTTCTAAACTAAACAAAAGTAAATTTGCCATATTATTAGATTAATGAGTAATATTCTAATGTTACAAAAGGCCTTAAGAATAAATTAATAAGATATTATGTGAACAATAATTTATTAATAAATTGTTTGAAGGCGATGACCCTGTGCATATGGATTTGGAACGCGCTTTTAATAGGTGCAAATTTACATTGCAATAATTTATGTGTTATTGATATTTATTTGATAATGATGGCCCAAATTTAAAGATAGGTCAGTTATACAGTTCGTTATAATAAAATAATTATAATTATAATATTATAATAATTATCTTTATTTTGATAGAATTTGAAATAATTTATTATATTCAAGGTACTTATGTGGCAATTAAATTGCTTGTGAGTATATTTTTTCTAAACATGTTTCTGTGGAAAGTCATTCAATCTCCAACGCATTCTACAGAATACATTTTCTTCCCATAAATTATTGATATGATCTTAAAATATGCCTCACTTAACAAAAAAAATGGAAATGATGGAAACTTCTAGGAATGAGTTTTAAGTTACCTGTATAATTTTGTACAGATTTTGCAATGATGTTTCTGACTTACCATCAATTAATAAGTATTATATAACAATCAGACAAATTATAACAATTAATTTTGTTTATTAACTATTTGTTCCTTCACAGTTACATGTGCCACTGATTATTATTGCAAAAGATGCGGATGTCAAGAGACAATAATAATGAAAGATAGTTGAAAGGTTAAAATGTTATTACGCATGCAGAAATAAAAACATTTTTGCTAAAATTTGTATTTAAATTGATCTATCCGAAAACATGTTTTCTCTCAATGGGTTCCTTACACTTACACCAAGATATAAAGAGTACCCGAGTTGACTTTAGTGTTCATATCCACATAACAATCTATTTTCAATAATATTAATGGAAGCAGCCTTTTCAGTTTTATAATAAATCATGATGAAGCAACGTTTCGATCTTCTGTTTATCATAATCAGGAAAAATAGGTATATAGACTTGAAATCAGCTTACAGCTTACTGGTTGTTTTTATGGTTTTCTGCAAGGATAGCATAAACTAGGGCAAGAGTTTTGTGACATTTACGTAAAGTTTATATAATTTTGAGAATATTTTTTCAATTACCTACCTGCATTGATTTCATGTCAACTTTATATAATTACTATGTAAACTAAAAATTTGTAACTGTTTATATTTAATGTTTACCTAAAATATTAAATATAGCGCTTACATAACTGAATAGTGAACATTTTATGTAAAATTTGGAATTTTGTTTGGAAATAAAATAGATTATTTTTGTAGGTTTTTAATATAACGTGAAATCTTAGACACCTGAATCAAGGAAACGTTCAGAACCGGATCATTCAACTTCAGGAAATTATGTAAGGTCTCGAGTTGTTGAGGCTCAGGTGTCTAACAGCAACGCGAGAGCAACGTCAGCTGTATTTCGAATTCTCCTGAACAAAATTCTGAAACAACACTGCAACGAAATCAAAAGTTTGAAAAAATGGTGAAACAATTAACTAGACAAACACAATCAATTGGAAGTAGACCTGAAGTGCCTAGATTAACTGTTAAAAGTGATTGCATACCTGAATTTTCCCCAGAAAACGATAATTTGACTTCACGACAGTATGGCTTTTCAAGATTGATCAATTGAAAGCCATTAACCATTGGGACGATATTACAACAATTTACCACATGCAGTCAAGATTGGTGGGCATGGCAAAAACATGGTACCACAGTTTACCTAACTACAACTTAACTTGGGAAGAATGGAACACTCTTCTTAAACGTAGTTTTCCAGACCATACTGATTAGGCGACTCTTCTGCAAACAATGCTGAATCGAAAGTAAATGGTATTTGAATCGATGACATCGTACTATTTCGAAAAGATATGGAACTCCTAAGAAGCTGCCGCGTTTCTGGAAAAGAAGCAGTTTCTTGCCTTATACATGAGATAGATGATCCAGTTATTCAAAATAGTGCCAGAGCTGGACGTTACCAAAACCCAGAAAACCTATTCGAAAAACACTTGTCAGAACTAAATATTGATGTTTATCCAAAACAAAAAGAATAAGTGAAATTGCCAACAGGATATTCAGATTTAAGGAATCACATAAGAAATAGGTAAGCAAAATAAATTTGAAACAAAGTGTTTCAATTGTGGTCAACGGGGGTATATAGCTTCAAACTGTTCAAAGCCTAGGAAGGAATGTAGAAAAAGTAAGTGTTTGGGATACGAAGAAAAAAATTGCACAAAGCAAAACTTCTACAAACCTGGTAAGTCTAAACCTATTTTTAATATAGAAACTGCTCAAAATTTTATTGGTGCGCAAAAAGAACGGCGAATCGCGTATGTGCGTAGATTATCGTGCTTTGGACGCTTAAACTTTTAAGGATAAATATCCTCTGCCACGTATTGATGATTTACTGGATGGGCTCAAAGGTGTTCGATACTTTACTAGTTTAGATCTTGCTTTTGGATATCATTACGTGCCAGTTGCTTCGAATTCTATCGAAAAGACAGCTTTCATTACCCCCGATGACCATTACGAGTATGTAACTATGCCATTTGGTCTCGTAAATGCGCATGCAGTCTTTCAGAGGGCAATTCATGAAATTCTATATTCTTTACGTTATACCACAGCTATGGCGTGATATTTTGATACCGTCAACGGACGAAAAAAGTGGATTCACGAATTTAGAAAACGTTGTAAAACTGTTACGTAAAGCCAATATGACATTATGTTTTAATAAATGTAGATTTCTCTTGAGTCAAATAAGTTATCTGGGAAATGAAATCTCCTATGAAGGAATCAAACCTGGATCCGAAAAGATTGAATCTGTACAAAATTTTTCAACATCTAAAGACATACATATAATCTGACAGTTCCTAGGACTCGCCAGTTATTTTCGCAACTATATTAAAGGACTTTCGCTCATTGCGATACCTCTTACCGATTTAACAAAGAAATGCGCTTCTTTCAATTGGCAGACCGAACAGCAGAATGCATTTATAGAACTTAAAGAAAGACTTATAACTCGTCCCACGCTGGCTGTTTATGATAGAAACGCTGTTACGGAGCCTCACACTGACGCTAGTAAGCTTGGTACTGGTGGGATATTACTACAACGCCAAATAAATGGAGAACTAAAGCCTGTACAGTACTTCAGTCGCTCTACCACAAACCAAGAAAAGGGATACCACTCATACGAACTTGAGACTCTAGCTGTTGTTTGTAGTTAGAAGAAATTTCGTGCGTATCTGGAAGGAGTTGAATTCAAAGTAGTCACTGATTGTAACGCCCTTAGGATTACGTTGACTAAGCCTGATTTAATTCCACGAATAGGTCGATGGTTGCGTATTACACAGGAATTTAATTTCACTATCGAATATAGGGTAGGATCAAAGATGGCTCATGTGGATGCACTTAGCAGAAATTCGCTGCCTACCGAGTTTGATGAAACAGTAAAAGTTATATACTTCATGTGTCTGACTCTGATTGGATGTTAGCGGTGCAGTTAAATGACAAACGCTGCAAGGAAATATATCAAGTTTTGTCATGTGTACCAGTTGATGAAAATGACAGACGTGTACACAAAGAATATCTTTTAAAAAATAATAGAGTTTATCGAAAAACGCCACTCGGTTTGTGATAGATGGTCCCTAATTCGTCCAGAAGGAATATACTTTTGTATTATGATGATGCAACAGGACATTTTTGCTGTGGATGAAACACTAGAGGCAGTGGCAAAGTAGTATCTACTGGTTTCTATCAACGCGGAACTATATCAAAAACTACATATCAGCCTGCCTCGGTTGCATGTATAATAAGGCGCCTTCAGGTAAAGTACCTGGGAGTCTACACAATATCGTAAAGAAAAGTGTACCCGTGGTTAACTGGTCAAAATCCGTGTACGAGTTAGTCAAAATACGAGAAAATCTCATAAAATCTACTCAAAATCCCTAAAAATGTTTGGAATCCTTAAAAATTTAACAAAATCCCACAAAATCTCTTGAAATTGCATAAATTCCTACAAAATCTAACAAAATTTCATTAAAACCAAAAAAATCCTGCAAAATCTCATAAAATCATTAGCATTCCTAAAAAATATTTCCAGTAATAATATAACTATATAGTGCATAAAATATTTCCGGAAAGTTTTGAAAATTTTGTCTGCAGTCAATTTTTTTAAAAAATCATTAGGGCCTGAAAATTTTTTTTCTTCGGCGCTAGGCACGAATGGTTTTGTTCAAAAAAATTTGCTAAAGATGAAATTTTTTAAAATTTCCCTTAGGAAATATTTTATGCGCGTGTTATTATTTTCATAGGAAATTTCCCGAGTTTGAAATTTACTAAAATGTGTTTTTTTTAAAGATAAAAGTCAAATTGACATTATGTTGGCAATACAATGTAAAATTGTCAATGCTTTCAAATTTTTTATGTAGAAAAGGCTTGTGTTGCCAACATAGTTACTAAATTTTTGAGTTGGGGAATTATCTTTAAAAAAACAGACTTTATGTTGTGTCGAATTTTTTTATTGATGCTGATTGTTATTGATCTTTCCCATTTAAATTGCGTTTGTCAAAAATATACACTTTGACAGATCTCTGACATCAATGCGTTTTAAATGGAAAAGTGGGAATCCAATGTCAAAAATGACAATTTTGGAAATTTTCCCCGGGATATTTCCAAAAATTTCCACTTATTAATTTTGACAATTTTTATGCTAAAATTCCAGTGTATATAATTTGTACAAGGGAAATTTCCAGTAGTAATCTAATTGGTGCATTAAATATTGCCAGAAATTTTTGAAAATATTGAAACATTTACCCTTTGAATGGAATTTCGAGGAATTCCGTCAAATCTTCTGGCGAAATTCTAAGGAATTTCTATGAAATTAACTAAAATTTTCACGGAACTCCCATAGAATAACTTGAAATTTTAATGGAATTCCGAAGAATTTCATGAAATCTCATAGCGTAATTCCGAGGAATTTTTGTGCAAGAATTCCATTAAATTTTATGGTGGAATTCCATAGAATCTTATGATGAAATTCGGAAAAGTATTATTCTGAAATATTATTGCAAAATTTCTGAGAATTTACGTTTTTCCATTCAAATTTATCACTTGAATGGAATTTCGAGGAATTCCATAAAATCTTCTGGTGAAATTACAAGGAATTTCTATGGAATTGACTAAAATTTTCGCGAAATTCCCATGGAATAAATCCATAGAAGTCACATTAAATTTTATTTCCTTTCGAATTACATGAAATTTCGGGAAATTACATGAAATTTCAGTGGAATGTCATGAAATCCTGAATGAGTTGCATGGAGGAATTCTAAACAATTACATTGAATTACGCCGACATTCCCAACATGAAATTTCAGTGCTCGGTAAATTACATAAAGAATTTTAAAAAAGTTTCAAAAAATTGCATGATTTCCAAGGAACTTTCGTCGAATTATGTGAAGCTCCGATGCTATTGCATAGAATTCCAACGGATTGCCAGGGAATTACATGAAATTTAAGTGGAATTTTGAACAATTCTTATCGTTTCATATAATAAGGAATTCCAGTGGAATTCCGAAAAATCCTAATGAAATTACATGAAGCATTATTTTTATTCCAAAGAATTCCCAGTGTAAAACATGGCATTTTAGTGAAATTGAAATTTCGAAAAATTCCAATCGAATTACTGAATTTCAGTAAAATTAGAGAAAATTTCACAAGTGGAATTCCGAGGAATTTCCGGCTAAAAACTTGGAATTTCGGTGAAATTTGGAAAAATTCCCATGTAATCATATAAAATTTCAATATATTTCGGAGGAATATCGGTGAATTTTCAAGAAATTACTTGAAATTTCATTAATATTCCCAGAAATTCCTGACTATTGAAAGAGAATTTCAGTGAAATTCCGAAAAATTCTTATGGAAATACTTGAATGAAATTTTGAAAAAAAATTTGAAGTTTCATGGGGATTTCGAGAAATTTTCGACTAATAACGTGGAATTTTAGTGAAATTTCAAAAAATTCTCATAAAATGTTGGTCAAATTCCGCAAAATTTTATGAAAATTTTGTGGAATTCCAGGATATTTCGGTGGTGAAGTTTTAAGGAATTTCAGTAGTTTCAAAAAAATTATGGAATTTGGAATTTCTATAGAATTTTGGAGAATTTCAGTGAGCTTCGAAAAAAAAAAAAAAATTATGAAATATTCGCAGATTTTCCATCAAATTATATATAATTTCTCTTTGTGTCGACTTATATTAAATTTCGATGAAATGTCGAGTAAAATTCCAAGGAATTCTCGTCGAATTACATACATGGAATTCCTTGAAATCTTATTGTGGAATTTCAGTGAAATTAGATGGAATCCGAAGAATTAAATAGAATTTCCATGGAACCACGAGAAATTACGGCGGAATTCCGAAGAATTGAAATTAAATTTTAGTAAAATTCTAAGTAATTTCTGTCGAATTACATAAAATTTAAGTGGAATTCCGAGAAATTTTACTGTAATTTCGCGGAATTTTTGTACAAGAATTCCATTGAATTTTATGGTGGAATTTCATAGAATCATATGATGAAATTCGGAATAATATTATGAAATCCTATAGTAAAATGTCTAGGAATTTCCGTTTTTCCATTCAAATTTGTCATTTGAATTTAGAATCTCTAAAAACTTTTCAAAAACCCCTAAAATGCTCCAGAATCACCTAAAATTTTGAAAATCTAAAATCTTCTGAATTCCTGTGAAATCGTGTAAAGATTTTCGAAATTCCCAAAATCCTACAAAATCAATTAAGATTTAAAATATGTGTTCATTATTTTATAGAGTTAACTAAACCTCGCAGCGGTTGATTGGTCAAAATCTGTGTACAAGTCCAGAAAAACTTGTGAGATAGGTATATTTAAAATCCCTGAAAAAATTTTAACAAAACCTCACAGAATCCCTTGAAAATCACTTGTAATCGCATAAAATTTCACAAAATCACACGAAATTTTATTAGAACAAAAAAAAAAATCCGTCAAAATCTTATAAAATCATTATTATGTATTCCCTCGTGTATTCTTCAAAAAGAAATCCTTCAAAATTTCCAAAAATCTTTCGGAATCCTCAAAAATCCGTTAAAACTTCTAAAAATCCTTTAGGATCTCTAATGGCCGTTTCCACCAACTATTTTAGGGGAGCTTCAACAATAAGTATTCTTTAAAATGACAGTCTTCTATGAGGAAATGTTAGTTTAAAAAATACTTATCGTTAAGGCTCCCCTAAATTAGTTGTTAAAAATGTCATAAAAACCCTTTCTAAATTCCCTAAAATGATCCAAAATCGCCTAAAATCTCATAAATCTAAAATCTTTTAAAATCCTGTAAAATCACGTGAAGATTTTCAAAATCCTCAAAATCGTACAAAATCAATAAACATTTAATTATGTACACATTTTATGGAGTTAACTAAACTTTGAGCGGTTAATTGATGAAAATTTGTATATAAGTTGGTCAGAATCCCAGAAAAACTCGTAAGATCTACTTAAAATCCTTGAAAATCTTTAAAAATCTAATAAAATTTTTTTAGAACAAAAAAAATCCGGCAAAATCTTTCAAAATTCCTAATAAAAAAATTCCTTTGACATTTCCAAAAATCCTTTGGGATCCCCAAAAATCCGTTAAAATCTCTAAAAATCCTTTGGGGTCTCTAAAAACCCTTCTAACTTCCCTAAAATGCTCCAAAATCACCAAAGATCTTTTAAAATCCTGTTCAGAATTAAAATCTGTGTACATATTTTAAGGAGTTAACCACCCCTTGAGTGTACCGATGGACACTCTGCATTTAGACCATCTAGGGCCGTTTATGAAACCGAGCACCAAAACGGCACCAGTTTTTAAATTTCTGAATGATTTGAATAAAACTTTTGTGGTACCTCCAGCGATGTTACAGAGGGTAAAATAGTACCAAAAGGAGTACATTGAGGACTTTAAGAGTATAGTGGTACAATCAGATGAAAAAATGTACAATCTTACATTCGTTCAGGAATTATTCCTCTATTAACAAATTTCTCATTCAAAAAATATTAAATTTATATTTTTAAACGTACCAGAATGCAATTTAACATAACCTTAATACATCGAGGCCCGTTTATTGATTTTTGACTCCAAGAAAATTGGTACCTTTCAAAAATTGATAATTACCACTTTGTAATAATTATTAGTTTAGTACCGAGCCCATCGGCCATCTCCGTTTACATTACAATAATAAACATAAAAGCAGGAAAGTATATAAGATTCGAAACCTGAAAAAAAATTATAATTTGGTCGAAAATACATAGTACAATTGATATTAGAACAAGTACAATTAAAATTTTTCTTGTAACAGCGCTTGGTACCTTGAAGATTTATTTGTGATATAGGGTTAAAGCGTTTACAAGCCAATCTTTCTCCTCATTTTGTGCGGGATTCAAAAATGTGCAAGTAAGTACCCTATCATTTCTAATTGATGCACTAATAATTGTCTTGGTAATCACCCCACTCTGATACCAAATTGCCCTATGGTCTCCTCCGTGTCCACTAAAACTCTCTTCACTAACAAGAATAACTTTAATTAAACTAATTGAGAAAATTCACTTTCTTAAGCTGACTTATTGATCTACGCGCTTTATATACAAAAACGTTGTCGAGAAATCACTAGAATAGTGCCAGCCTTTCTGCACCAATGCAATTTCGTAACAATTTACCAAAACAAATATTTTTGAAAGCAACAGATACCTAATTCTAGACTGAAGCGATGTCATTGCAATTTCTCCTGGATAAATTAGTAAGTAGGTAGGTATTTATTTTTTAACCCAATTTGACTGAATCAGCAAAAAAATAATCAAATTAATGAGGAAGCTTGGTTTTTTCAATTCCCTGAAATAGTTTAATTGTTTTCAATTATTGTTACTTTTCACACCAATGTGATACAAACGTTCCTATAGCTTTAAACAAATAAACAGTTACCTATTATACGACTTAAAAAAATGAGATAATTTCAAATTCTCGAAAATCATAGATATTATTTCTATTTACATTATTTTCCATATTGACATATTGTGAATTGTTTCTTAACTTGCTAATGAAGTGCAGCTATATGATTTCTTTTATTGACAAAAAGGTTACCTATAATATGCGTAATAAATTTGATAAAATTATAATTAATATCTATTTTTGTCGATCTTAAACTCTTTAGACTTACTTTTCTAGCTAATAGCACTCTTTTTCAACACTAATTCCTTGAAAAAAAAAAAGTTCAAAACTTCACCCTATATTTGCACTATATTTTCCGTATATAATCCACATTTTTATTTTTCATTGACTAATCGTACGATAAATGCAACGGTTCTAGTGCACTAACTGACAAGCACCTACAATTACTTTTCTTGCATAAAATAATATTGACCTTCGATTGGTGTGCCATTGGCCGTTTATTTTGTATTTTTTTTTTAATAATGCCTTATGCTGACCTAACGATTGCCTAAGAAATAATTGGGTGACAAGTTCTGTTTTAGCGCGACGAATTAAAATAAAGTAAAATTATAATAAAAATAAAAATAGACTTACTTTAAAAAAAAAAAAAATAAACACTCACAAAACTGATTGTTCACTAAGCTCTGAAAAGCTTCTATTGAGCGAAGCGCGCTTCAGCGGGTACTACTTATTTAAAACCATATTTAGTAGGTACCTAAGTCAAATTAATTTTTCGACAAACCGGTTGACAATAAATCCATCAGCTGGAATAACGATTAATAGTTAAGTACCGACAGAAGGATTCCCTCTATTAAGGAAAATAATTTTCCTACTCAACAATGTCAATCATTATTGCTTTTTGCGTAATTTCAAATGAGAAAAAAAAGAAGGAAACCCCAATTGGTAAGTTTTTACTTGGCCCCAAGGCATTGCAGAAAAATTGATGAGGAAAGTTTGTAAAAGTAGCTACGAGGAACTTTTATTGAAGTACAAATAAGTACCTGAAGAGTTTGGAGAGTCCGAAGCTGGGAGCCAGGAGGGAATAACTTTCCCTATAGATCTATTTCCATGCAAAAACGTGCGACAGGTAGATACAATTTGTATTTAGGGCACATACACAATAAACAACGGATTAAATGAAGATCATCTTCCAAGACTTCTTATGTGTGAAACAGACTCTCATTCATTTGAAACAATGATCTTTGATCAAAATGAATCTATTTCCTAAAATAGAAAACAAATTGCTTATTCTTATTCGTTTCATGTTGAAGAGGAAGTACGTAAGTGTATATGTATTTATTTTTTCAAATATAGTTCAGCCGGCAAGTACTTTCTGCTGAAAAATATTCCGAAGTTAATGATATTTTGGTATGTCATTTGTGGGTAGTCTGTGGAGTAAAATCTGAGTTTTCGATCTCGAAGACCCTGTGCTAGCTTGAGGGGAGTCGAAAAACCACAAAATTTTCGGACTTTTTCAGTTTTTGGCTTATATTTTTTAAACCATGTGTTTTAGCGGAATACACCTAGTTATAAAGTTAAAGAAAATTAATTTTCTTTCAAATTTCACTAATCGAACCTGTATTATCTAACGCAATAGTAACCGAGATACAGTGGTTCAAGGATACAAATTCTCTACTTTGTCAAAAATTTCTTCAGGCCGACCACAATTCAAACCAAGCATGGGATAAACATATTTTATCCTTATTTCTTTCACGCAGTGGCGGATATAGTGGGGAAGCAGGAGGGGTAATTTCCCCCCTTTTTAAAATAAAATAATAAAATTAAAAAAAAAAAAAGAAAACAAAACCATATTTTAAGTTTTAAGAATGTTTAGAAAGCTGAAAACCTATAAAAAAATCACACTTTTGTCTTTGTCCCAAGAACTTTAACCTCAAACAGTATATCATTAGTGGTTGAGTTGGTGTATTGTTTTTTTTTTTTGTTCTAATGAATAAATATTCATACAAAATCAATAAGATCATGTACAGGGTGTTTTTTCATATATATTTAGGTACACCCCACCTACAGCCGTTACCTTTACAGGTAGATGAAAGGTGTAGATACAAAAGTTGTACAGTATTGGAAGAACACAATTTCTCGATTCCAAAACTATATAGTTTGTCTATATTTGGTTGAGCCGTCTCCAACACATTTGGTTCTAAAAATTTTAAAAATACTATCAGAGAAACCAAGTAGGTATAGTATTTTTAATTTGAATTGAAACACTTTAAAAACATCCAAGCCGTTTTCTCGCGTTCACTTTTCTGACATTGGTTCAAAATAGGTTTGAAATGGGCAATGGTGTTTCCACTGACTGTTTCAAACTGGTTTTGAACCAATGTAAAAAAAGTGGACGCGAGAAAACGGCTTAGATGTTTTTTTAGTGTTTCACTTCAAATTAAAAATACTATACCACAAATTTTATCTGCAGATTTCACCTGTACAGGTAAAATGGTTCACAAAATCAGTAGTAGGATAGTATTTTTACAATTTTTGGAGCCAAATATATGAGAGATTGCTCAATTAAATATAGATCGGGATATTGTGCTCTTCAAGAATATAGAATAAAATATAGGGCATCCCATTTGAAAAAATCTGGAAATATGCAAAATTTCACATTTCTGAAATTCGAATTTTGTTTCTGACCATGGTTTCTAAAAATTCTGCCAAAACTGTACAACTTTTATACTTACACCTTTCTTCTATTTGTAAAGGTGAAGGCTGTAGGTGGGGGTCAATACCTATATAAAAAAACACCCTGTACAAATAAGTGGATTATTGCGGAACTTATGGGTGGCGCAGGCAGCCATCTTCTCACCAATAAACTGTTGAACTGTTCAAATAAGACACTCACCTGAAACGTGTAGTTTTTGAACTAATGAGAAAAATTCACAACTGAGTGAATCAGGTTAGTATTGTAATTAAATAACATATTGATGAATAGATGGCTGCGGAACTCGCTGCGCTCATCCCGCAGATGTCCACCCATAAGTTCCGCAACAATTCACTCATTTGTACTTGAATAACTTGTCACATTATGTTACTAGTTTGGTAAAGTAACATTACTAATTCCTGTTGAAAGACAAATTGACAAAAAGTGAATAATCATAATCTTACAAATTTTGACTTTTATAAGAAGTTATTGTTCAAGTATAAATAAGTGGATTATTGCAGAACTTATAGGTGGACTTCTGTGGGAAGAGCACAGCGAGTTTCGTAGCCATCTACTCACCAATATACTATTGAACTATTCAAATAAGACACTCACCTGAAACTTGTAGTTTTTGAACTGTGAATAACTAACATTTGAGTGAGTCAGGTTAGTATCGTACTTGAAGAACGTATTAATAGACACTTTAAGTAGGTCCTGAATTTCAAACGTATCCGTATCCGCATCGATCTGCGCATGCGCAGAATAGATACGGTGGCTTCGTTGCGTTGCGTTGTCCGTATCGTTACGGGCCTAGCCTCGTATCTGTATCCGGAAACGTATATCAATCATTTGACACTATTGAGAGATCTCCTTGTTAAGCCCATTTTACAATGGATGTAACGTATAACCGTAAAGCCGTAACATAAGATACGCACATTAGATTTATTTGCGTCAACCGGAAAAGCAACGTAAGAAATGCCGCCGTGCCGCTTTGTCAAGTAAATCATAAATCATGAATCATGCCACACGTCTCGTCCGGCGGCGGCGATGAACTCGGTAGCACCGATGAGGTCAAGGTGTACAAGGACGAGGGTATCGACGAGGACGAGAAACGGTCCTCGGAGAACCTCACCCCTCACCTTTTTAAGAGCAGTTTTATCGATCTCACCTAGTCGGAGGTAAATCGATCAGCTTCAATTTGTTGCAAGAATCGTCGAAATCGGACGAGTAGTTTAGGAGTTACGGGTGTAGCAATATTTTTGTAACAACAAGTCGTTAGTAGGTTTGGGGCAAGATTCCAATTAATTATTCTTGTAGCAACACTCCATTTGTGTAGCAGCACAAGATCAAAATATGTAGCAAGAAAAAGTGTAGCAACACGAGCGAAAGTGTAGCAACACGAGCGAAAATGCAGCAAAAAATCGTTTTGGGGGTAATTCCTTTTAGTGAGTTTTTAGGGTGAGATTTTGTAGCAACATGTAGCAACACTTGTTATATGAAAATGTATTGAATTCGTTTGTAGCAACATTTGGTAAAAAGTTTAGTTTCTCGTCGGGTTTGGAATTCGAATTTTACATTTTGCCGGCTTTTGATTGGCTTGGAAATTTGAATTTCGATTATTCCTGGCTTTTGATTGGCTTATTTTTAAATTTTCCTAGCTTTTAATTGGTTTAGGAATTCAATTTTTAATCATTTCCGGGTCTTGATTGGCTTAAAAATTTAAATTTGCAATATTCCCGGTTCTTGATTGGCTGCCAAAGCCAGTTTTTGAATTTTCTTAACTCCTAATTGGGTTTAAAATTCAAATTTTGAACATTCCCGGCTCATGATTGGTTTAGAAACTGAATTTTTGATTATTCCCGGCTCTAGATTGGCTTCAAATTTTGAATATTCCCGGCTCTTGATTCGTTTAGAAATTCAAATTTTATATATTCTCGGCTCTTGATTCGCTTCTAAAGTCAATTTTTGGAATTTTACCGTTTCTTGATTGGGTTTGAAATTAAAATTTTGATTATTCCTGGCTCTTGATTGGCTTTGAAATTCAAATTTTGAATATCTCCGGCTTTTGATTGGCTTCCAAAATCAATTTTTGAATTTTCCCGACTCTTGATTGGGTTCAAGATTCAAATTTTAAATATTCCTGGCTCCTTATTGGTTCTGAAATTCAAATTTTGAATATTCCCGGCTCATGATTGGTTTAGAAATAGAATCAAAAGCTGGGAATATTTGAAATTTGAATTTCTAAGCCAATCAAGGGCCGGGAATATTTAAAATTTGAAGCCAATCGAGAGCCAGGAATAATCATAAATTCAATTTCTAAACCAATCATGAGTTGGGAATATTCAAAATTTGAATTCCTGAGCCAATCAAAAGCCAGGAATACTCAAAATTTGAATTTTAAATCCAATGAAGAGTCGAAAAAATTAAAAAACTGACTTTGGAAATCAATCAAGAGCCGCCGTAATAATCAACAATTCAATTTCTAAACCAATTATGAGCCGGGAATATTCAAAATTTGAATTTCAGAGCCAATCAAAAGCCAAAAATAAGCAAAATTTTTATTATTCTCATCCTCTCTTATGTTACGTTTCCAGTAATATATTTGACGCAAATAAATCTAATGTGCGCATGCTTAGGACTTATGTTACGTCTTTACGGTTACGTGACGTCCATTGTAAAATGGGCTTTAGTTATCACTTAATAGTATATTACAATCCGAGACCGGTAATGCTTCATTGCAGGTCGAGAGGTTTTATAGTTTATCGAGACGCGTAGCGTCGAGATAAACTGAACCTCGAGACAACAATGAAGTTTCCCGTCGAGGTTTGTATACTATTTTATTTTTAACCATAATTTCTTGAAAAAAAAAATTCGGGGCAACCAAATGAAGTCGGGAAATAAGGAAGAAAATGAGGACGGGAAAAATTTCCCGTCCTCATTTCCCGTCCTGGGACAGGTAATGGAGCAGGAAAATGAAAAGACGAAATGTGACATTTTCAAATTGAAAAGTCACTAATGAC